TTGGTCAAAAATCGATGCTAAATCTTGCAAAAACAACCAATAGATGGGCGAAAGATGTGATTCCTTTCTTCAAGGATAAGCTTTAAGCACTCAATAGCAATATAGTGATGGTGAAATTTTGACCATAAACAAATTGGTCCACTATCTCTTTATTGATTTTGAACTTCTTTTTTTGTTGGAAGTGGGAAAGTGAGAAGAAAAAAATGGCTAGTCAACAATGAAATGCACCGAATTAAATTATTCAATCGAGCATCTTTTACTTACATACGCATTCTTAATGCCAAATATTGATTGAACGCGACATTATCAATGACATATAGGTAAAATCATATTAAAATTTACTAAGTATAGCACATAGAATATGTGATTGAATATCAAGTTGCTCTAATGCTTGAGTTAGATAAGCTTCCGGCAGTGAATTTTAAAACTCATTACACATCTAGTAGTAATATTGAAATGAAAATGACGTCAAATTTCATACAAGATATTAAAAATAAGTGAAATCGAGCACTCTATCATAATTCAAAAATATATGTAGATTGATATAATATGACGTTGCAGCTTGCAAGGTTGAAACTTCAAGTAAATATTCTCTATCGCTTGAGAATAAACGATCACGATGTAGTAGGATTCTCATAGCTATCTTCAAGTGGATCAACAAAGATGAGATCAGCTCACTTACCCATCGAACCCTTCAATTTTTGAGTGGTTTTTTTTTATTCGAAATGAACGAAGAAAGAAAAGGCTTACAATTCTTTCTCTTCTTTTTTATCACTTCAAGGAAATGCGTTTTGTCCCGAATATTTGTTTAATTAGAAAGATTCTTCACTGATAATTCAAAATAAAGAATATAAATAAAAGCGCATACACGATAAGGGCCCCCACAACTCTTTCATTCAGGAGGAGACTTAGCCTCATTATTACTTAAATAAGATGCTCATGAATTATTAATCTTCCATTAATATTATTTTCATTGGAAACATCAATTTCAAGAAGCTTTGTATCTTTGGAAGTTTATTCTTTCACGACTATGTAGTTTGCACCTACAAGTAATTTCAATTATTTATGGCATAGATAGGGGACCTTGGTCGGTCAAGGCTCCCACTAGAAATTCTTGTGTAGGCGCTTTCTGACGTGGACCACTTTTCCATATATAGGCAGGCAACTCCCCCTATTGATCAAACCACTAAAGTAATCACAAAAATTAGCTATGCCAAATTGAGTGTTCTCCACATGAGCTCTATTCAAATCCGTAGTGGGTCTAAACATGCCCATCCAAAAATATAAAAAAATGCTAAGTGTAAGTTTGACAAGAGATTAGAGGGAAATTGTTTATTTTTTTAAACTGTCCAATAATGTATTGTTATATGGCAAAGAGTAAAAGACGAGGTAAATGATGATGTACATATAGCATAATAAATATAACACATGACTAGTTATAGCTGTCATAGATTTTTAAAATCTATGGGGCAGACCGCCTCACAAACCCGCTAATATTATGGATCTGGTTGATTCAACTTGTCTTTTTTTTTCTTTTTTTTTTGAAAAAATTATATGTTATCATTATATATTTAAAAGTTCTATTGTTAAAATGTTTGTGAAATATAAATAAGTATTTTATACGTAGAGCTTACTAATAATAATAATAAATCGAGACAAATGGGTTGATCTTCATGAATCGTTCATTTGAAAATCTAAATCAACACGACCGGTCATAATTGGTGGAACAACCTAGAACCAGCTTGAAGCAAGCTGGACTAATTCCATCTAATTTTTTTCATGACATTATTCGCTTTAAGCTTAAGCCCGTTCATTTTGACATCACTAACGAAAATCCATGAAAAAAAATGTAAAAAAAGAAGAGACATTAGATAATCTCTTCTGTTGAGCTTAGGGTCAAGGTACAAAAGAAAATTTAAAGCTAAAAGGTACGAATTGGATCCAATTATTGACATCAAATGTGGATAAGAACAAAGGGGAGTATGATATATGCAAGTTAATTTAGAATGTGAGAGACATCCGATGGCGAAGATTTTTAGCAATTAACATTGATAAAAAATTGATGATATCATGAAATTTATAATTAAAAATAAAATTTGACATACTTTTTTACAAGAAAACAACTTTAACAAACAAGCACATACTTTAATACAATTTCATCCAAAATTCATATTGAAGTAGATCAATTCAGTGATTCATCTGAAATGTGTGACAAATAAATTTGATATTGTACAAAATCAGAGAACAATTGCCCATTGTTGCCCATAGTCGACGTGATAGTGTGGCGATGCCACATCAACAATTAAGTCGTATATTTTTGGATGTTTCAAAAGGGAAAAAAAAATTGATCTATTAACATGACAACACTTCATTGATAGATGGATAATATAACTCTTATCCACTATTTATATGTTATGTACCTCGAAATTAAGGACTTAATAATGGATCCGGCCCAATCAAAAGTGGGTCCAGTTTCTTGAAATTCATAAAAAATGGAAAAGTGAGTTGCAGATGATCATCAGCAACAAACTCTTGACAAATCAGTTAGTGTTTCACCTTTAATGTACCTTGTCGAATTTTCAAGTTAACATTTCAAAAATCAGATTCAAAGTTTATTTTTATAAAAATCAAATCATAATCAAACATTAAAATATTAATAATAATATTTTAAATCTAAATTAATTTATATATACCCAACCTATCCCCAAACCCTATTATTTTCCTCCTCCTCCCTCCTCTCTCTACAGCGTCGGCGAGACTCCAACTTAACACGAGCGGCGGCGTCGGCATCGGCATCATCCAGAGTAAGAAGATCTGAGCAACGGGTGTGGTGTGGTTTTGATGCTATTAGCGGTGGTGGTGAGGTTTTTTGTTGGTGGTGCAAGTAGAGGTTATGGCTATGGTAAGAAGGTGGTGGTGGCAGCGGCGGCGGCGATTATCTCATCTCATCTCCTTTCTCTTTTCACTACCATCTCTATAATTTCAAAT